TACAAAGTACTCGCGAGAGTAATCTTGTTACTTTTGGAAGTACTAAAATGGCTCGTAACCGTCACTATTTTTTCCGATCCTTTTTAATTGCGTCCGTTTTGTTTCCACGAGTTTCCTACCAAGTAATCTTTGAACCAAGCCTCCGACAGGAAGACGGTTTACCAAAATCGGTTTGATCAAGAAGATAAGTAGTTTATCAATCGGTGATTATAATCCGATAATGGACAATATGAAAGACCCGTCTTCGTACCCGCTCGGAATATTTGTCGTTTTGAAAATCTGAAGTAATCAGAGAAGTAACAGTCTATTACTTTTCTTCTCTAGTAATTAACTAATCTAATCGCCTACCTTTTAACCTAAAGTAATTGTAATTGTAATTCATTACAGTTTTTTTAAAGTAACTCGCACGAGACTGTGCAGGATCAGTTCTGACACCGCTGGATTGATTCCATCGTATCTTCGCAATGGCTGCTTTCGGAATTGGTGTGGAGCGAAGCATAGTCGGATACCGACGGAGCTGCACAGACTAACCTGACACAGGACTCCGGTCATTTGCGTGTCGAGCCTCAATATAGTTGTTTTGCCCTTTTCGGAGAGAAGACAATTTATTCCGTATACTGAGCGGCCATTTGCACCGCCATTCGGACTTCCTTCCATTCTATGCGGGGTCCAGGAAGCCGGTTTTGTTCGCCATTGACTTCCAGGACACGGTTCGGAGCACTAACGACATTTCCGTTCTTCGCGCGCTTATTTCTGCCGCATTCGACTACGGCTTCGGAGACTATTGTAGCACTTTCTTTTCCAACATCACGTCCCGAAAACAAAGTTCATAAAAATGCCACTCCACAAAAAAAAAAAAAAAAAAAAGAAAGAGAAGAAGAAGAAATAAAGTGGAACGTAGAAGAACGGGCTCGCCACTCTCGATACGGAGCGGCAACCTAAACTCCGCAACCAGCCCGAAAACATTTTTACTTTCTTCACGACCAAATTCCTCGTTTTCGTAAACATTACTTTGTCGGCGTTTAGACGCGTTGTGGCCATTATTGTAATTCGCCACCTCGCCCGACCGTCTCGTTTTCTACTAATATACTTGTCAAGAGTTTCTTTTTTTTTTTTCTTTGTTGTTTTTTGTAAAGCCAGGTTAGATGAGAAACGAGAATGAACTGCCGGAATCCGCGCCGCGTTAGTCCAGTCTCAGTCTCAGCGGCTGAGAAGGCGCGGAGAGAAAAAATAATAATAATAATAAGAAAGAAATCTCGCGGATCTCCATTTTCCGGTTGGCAGCTCGGAATCATTGCCTTTTCTCGAAGACGGTCGGAACGAGGAAAAGGAAAGGTCACGTGGCAGACGCGAGCCGAGGCATCGCAATTATGGAACGTTCCTCGCTTCAGGAAGCCGCGTTCTCATCTCGCCGAGTTCCGCTCGCTTGGCCCTCCTTGGTCAAGCAGCGGGCCGATTCCTAGCCGCACGTTACCGCGAGATGCAAAGGCGGCAGGAAACGCGGCTATGCGGGTGGAAACTGGGGGAGAGGAGGTAATGAAAGCGGTCTTGGGCGAGCTCTTGTTGGAATGATGAGACGCCAAGCACGCCGCAGACCCCGGCGTCTGGCGCTGTGCGTTCGCGTTGGAGCAGTGAGACAAAGGCAGATAGCTTTGCGTCTACCCACTAAACATTCCAAGCGGAGCTCGACGCTCCCAAGTCCTCGCGCGCTCTCATCTCGTCCCCTTTCTCAAGTTCTAACCGTCTATGTTAAGGCGTATTCTCCTCAAGAATCTCTCGTTCACTCCTTCGCGCTGGACCTGCCACGCGAAAGTATAGGGTGTCCCAATTCACCAGGCTCGATCTAAGATGGACCGTAAAAATCATCGCTTGCAAGTAGCTATCTAAACATTTCGTGAAAGGTGTATTTCACCAGTCGGTATTTTTCTTGTAAAACTACAAAGCGTAGCTCTCTTTTTGTAAAAAATAGGGCCAAGAAACTTGTCAGGGTCAACGGCGGGGGCTACTCAGACGACCCTGTCGAGTAGCGGGGCTGGTTTGGCGTTCGTAGAGGAAAAAAACGCGTGTCCATAACGACGGGGCTTTTGCTGTTAACGGATCTCGTCTTCGTGTCGTCTGCTTTCTTCCGCTGGTCGGCAACACCTTCGGAGGCTGCTCCCGACGCCATCTATCAATACGCGCTCCAAACGCACCCCGCAACTCGACTCGGTCGTCTGCGTCGCAGTCCGCCGTTGACCCTGGCAAGTTTTTTGGCCCTATGTTCTACAGAAAGGGAGCTGCTTCGTAATTTTACGAGACAAAACCGACAAGTGAAATACACATTTGACGAAAAGTTTACATCGCTACGTGCAGGCGCCGATTTTTACGGTCTATTTTAGATCGAGAATGGTGACTTAGGGCACCCTATATATTATGTGGAATAGAATGTTCACACTAAAGGCTGAACCGCATGTAAGCGATTTAGCGAGCGACGACGCGAACGACGCCAACAGCGACGAGAGTCAGTGACGAGCGACAGAGATTTCTCACTGTCGGTCGTCGCCTCGCTCGGTTTCTGGGATTTCTAGAAAACGTCGCTCATCACCTTGGTCGCTTGCTCCTGTCGTTTTTTCGCGGTTTGCGTCGTTGCGCGAGAGATCGAGCGACAGCGAAGTGGGTCGCCGTCGCTTGTCTCAACGCTCGCTAAATCGCTTACATGCGGTTTATAGACCTTTCCAAAAAAAGTGCTCCTGGCCGGTTCCATTTTCAGTGTTGGTGCGTATGGCGCGTGACTTGCTCGCTTTGCGAAGCGGCGAACATGCGTGTGCTGGGGTGAGCCGATATCACGCTCTTCTGAGGACTTGTAAATATTGCAATGGTGTATACTTAAGCGTTCCGCGCATGCGTGACGCCAGCGTAACTGTGGTTCATAGGAGGCAGGTGTCAGTTCACGGGACAGCTCGTGCCGCCTCTTGCTCTGCCCAGAGCCGTGTATACAGAGTTTGGTCAATGGGAGGCGCGGGCAGAGCCAGGGCGTGCACCAGACGCAGAAAGTGGGCTTGACATGTTCTCTTGGCCAACCAGAAGCCGAAACGAATCCCCTAGCGGTGGTAGCGAAAAACTGTTTTGGTCGTTTCAGTAAGCGTGTAAGAGTTAAACGTACTAACCCTTTACGGTCGAAAATAGGGTGTACGTGATGTTTCGACCATGATCACGCAGAAAGATGTAACAAATAAATGCGCCGCTGAACTGTGTTTTGCTCGCACAGAGTGTGACCGCTCGGAAGGCCGATTCCCGGCCCTCGGCGCTTTGCGTACGAATTATGCCGATCATTCTGCTAGTCACACTCTTCCACCGTGATTTTGGATGACCGTGATTGAGACGTCACGTGCACCATATTTTCAGTCACCGAGAGTTACTCCGACGCACTTATTAGGTTTGTTTTTCGCGACCACCGCCGGGGTCATATTTCCGGCTTCTGGTTGGTCGCATTCGAATTTGCGAAGACGCCCTGGAACACGCCCAGCCCACTTTCGGCCAATGGCGCCTTCCCGTTTGTCTCCTATACTTCCCATCGAATGGTCAAACTGTCTACATATACGGCTCTGGCTCTGCCCGCTCAGACCCTCAGCGCGGTCATCGCGCGTGCAGAAACACCACGTTGCAGCAGGGGTTGTGAGATTGCTCTATTCTCTTGCTGGATGTGGAGTGGGTTTAGACATAGCCACCTCTATACTAACAAAGCCTGGCAGTTCGACGACCGAGCCATAGAGTGCCCGGTCGCAGATTTGAAGAGCGAGGATCTGGTCGCACAGAGCACCAAAGAGCCATTTCTCGCGGAACCTGGCTGTCAGCGCACAGCTTTTGCAGCCGCCAAATCCCGAAGAACACTTGTTCGCTCGGGAGAAGTGCGTTTCGGCGTCTCGCCGCGACGGGGCGCCAGTCACGTGGCTTTCCTCTCATCCGTTGTCTGCCGCTCCAGCTTTTCCATTTCGGTGGCCGCTTCTCGTGGCAATCTTCTAGGCTTTGTCAGTATATAGGAGGCTATGATTTAGAGTGATAATTCTTTTTTTCGGTATATCTTGCGCGTGCAAGCACGCGCTTGAGCAATTACCGCTGAAAGTTCTACTGCCCGTACATCCAACGAGAGGCACGGTGTCCGCAAGCGGACACCATGACATGTTGACAAAACAATAGGCGCACGCCACAAGCATGTGCGAACTACGTTTGTTTCACACATATATGTGCTTCGAACATGTCTAAAAACAGTTTTTGTACGACCAATGCGACCGTCACACGAGGAACGCCTCAGACAGTCTCTGCAGACTGTTCTTTGTATGACGTATTAGCGTGAGGACCATGGAGCGCTTTTGGTTCGCTCCAAATCCACCGAGGGAATTCCTCATGCGGAGCGCAAGTTCGTCTGCTTCTTGCGCAGGAGTTGAAGTGACGTCAGAACGACGCCGAGCTGTGATTGGCTACGACTGAAGGATAGTGGGTAGACCTCAAAGCAAGCTACCACGAGGTCCACCCACTATCCTTCAGTCATAGCCAATCAGAGCTCAGCGTCGTGCTGACGTCGCCACAACGTTTGCAAAAAAAAAGCAGACGAACTTGCGCTTCGCATTAGACCTACCGAATTCAAAAGACAATAAAACTCGTTTTTTTTCGGCTTATGTAAATAAATTACGCATCGCAGGAAGCTGAGTGTCGGCGAAAATGGGACGTTAGCGGTGGCGATGGAACGTGAAAGTTCGAGAGCATAGTTATCTGCATCGAGAGATCAACCAGAAAAAGGAAAAAGTTTCTATGAGCCGACGTCCAGTTATTTATTTATTTATTTATTTATTTAATATACCCTTCAGCGCCCAGAGGCATTACAGAAGGGGAAGGGGGGGGGGGGGGCACATAGAGCCAGAGGAAAACAATAAACGAACTCTAGGTTTTGTGACATAAAGTTTGCTGGTGGAAAGAACAAGAAGAATAGTAAGCATTATACAATTATTAATACATTTGACATATCAGGAGATAAGGTACAGGCACTCTTCAATAAATCTGGAAAAAAACACATTGTTGGATGATACCATGACAAGCGACTCGGGTATACAGTTCCATTGATGAGTGGTAAGAGGAAAAAAAGAGTGTTTAAAGATATTAGGGCGGCCCGAATATTCGCGAAGCTTATTCTGATGATGTACCCTGCGTGATATGAAGTGAGGCAACTGAAGGAACAATCCCCTGTTTATGCCCGTTTTGTTATTATAAATGTTATGAAAGACTTTCAAACGTAAAGCGGATCTTCGGCATTTTAGCGGCTGCCAACCAAGACAGTCTTTTAGGACACTCGACCTTACAGTATAATCATAATTTCCGGTCACGAATCTCGCTGCTCTGTTCTGAACTCTTTCAAGGTCGTCACACAGATACTGTAACTGGGGATGCCAAAGTACACAAGCATACTCAAGAATGGGCCTTATATTTGTCAAATACAATATCTCCTTAACGTTTGGAGGGCAGTTTCTAAAATTGCGTCGAAAAAAATGCAACATACCAGTCGCTTTAGCGGTTATTTTGTTAATATGGGACTGCCAAGATAACCGCTCTGTAAAGGTTATCCCAAGATATTTTACCTCTGGGGTAACGGTCAGCGTAGTGCCATTCAAGCTGTATAAGAAAAGCAGTGGTTTAGTTTTCTTTATGAAGCGCACATGATGACATTTATCAATGTTTAGATTCATATGCTAAATTTTACACCAGTCTGAAATGCGGTCTATATCCCGTTGCAAAGCAGTGCTATCATCAGAGCTCTGAACTGATCGATATATCACGCAGTCGTCGGCATAAAGACGAATACTTGACTCTATACCCATGGTAATGTCATTAATCAAAATACCTAATTATTGGCAAATCGAGTAATGACAATGTGAGCTCTTGTAGCCTTCACGAAAAAAAAAAAAAAACATGTCAACAAAAAAATGTTCACAAATTTTTTTTTTTTTTTGCTTACATAAATGTTACAGGCGTCCAAAATGCCCTTTCTTTACTTGGCGGATAACAAACTAATAAAAGTCGGCTTATAAAAAAAATATGATTTTTTTTTGTTTTATATGTTATTGCTGATCGCTCCTTGAACGCTGCATTTAGCTCCTTTATACTGCGTTTCATGTACTATACGACTTCGGAGAGAAAAGTCGCTGGTAATTTCTTATTTTTTTTTACGACTAAGGGAATTTTGAGATACATCAATTACTATAAATTCGTCGTAAAACTGTGAGTGTGAATAAAAAGTTTACTCAGACTTAATATAACAAGGTAATAACAAAGGGTACAGGCGTTTCGCCACCTATACAGGTGGCATCTTCAGTATACACTGACACAAATGAGGAGAAATCGACCTCGCCTCATTTGTGTCAGCGTATACTGGAGATACCACCTGCGTGGCGAAACGTCTATACATTTTTGTTATTACCTTGTTATGTTAAGTCGGAGTAAACCTTTTGAATCATGAATTCACCCGGCTTTTGGAACGTTTTTGCACTGTGAATGGGGAAAAGGACGGTACAAACATAAACACGAAGCTTCAAAGCCTCCAAATTTGCATTGCGGAAAACAGTGCGAAATCATACGAAGAACAAAGATTTGCTTTGGCCCTCGTCTTCAATAAACTGGAAGGTTTCAAGTGTCCGTATTTGCTAGAGAATTATGAGCCATTAGCAGTCGTACAAAGTATTAAAAAAACTTATTTGGTTCTTAATTTCTTTAGCCAATCAATCGACCAATGTCCGCATTAAACTTGTTCGTCGGTCTCTTTGATTTGATCCTATTATTGATATTTTCGCGTTTTTATTTCAACGTAGAATGCGTAAAAGCGGAGGACTTGGCACTTTCAGCGTCACGTTAAGAATAACTATACCAAAAGAATATTCTAGTGCGATACAAAAAAATTATTCACAACGTATCGCTTATAATTGAAATCAAAATAATGTCTGCAATGGTAAAACAAAAGAGTTTCCAGTTTTGGGATAAATTATGGCAGTCGCAGTCCCGGTTGCCTTCACATTTTTTTTAAGGTTGCTTGTACGTTATAAAAAAAATAAGATGAAAAGAATGGCGCGCAAGTAGTGGTGCGTTTTGATGAATTAATCTTTCAAAAAATAAAACTTTCGCAATGATAAATGACGTCTTATGAAAATATCGAGAGGCACGTGCCGTGCCCTTAGAACTTAGTACGCGCATAATTCATTAAGTGCAGCGTGCTCCAGATTAATCGTTCTTTTTTTATCGCATGTAAGACCTTTTGGGAGGAGTGTTACGCGCACACCTCTAGAAATAGACGCAGCGGGTTGCCAAGCAGCAGAATACTGAAATGAGGAACAAACGCAGCCGTAACAAATTGTTAATTAATTACTTCCAAAACTTATCAAGAAACTCACTAAAAAAAAAACTCTAGCTGATGTTATGTTGATTTCAAAGTCAAAGAACTGCGTTGTAAAAACTGCCGAGAAACGGCAGGCTTTGTGCAAACGGAAATTGAACACATATTTGTCTTTATTGTTTGTTTAGGCACTGCGTGTAATTGGGTGAGTGGGTGAAGACTCAAAATAAACAAAACAGCGCAAAAAAAGAAAAGAGGAGTGAACAAGTAGAGTAAACAAAACAGCGCTGTGTATGTGTCCTCGTCGTCTGCTTATTCTAGTTTTTTTTTTTGTTTTTTTTCGAGCTGTTTTATTTTTTGTTTGAGCATGTACCCGGTAAGAAAAATTAAGAACATATGTAAAAAAAAAAAGGAACAAAATCAGCGAAAAAGGAAGAAGTCTTTCGGGGCGCCGGAACTCGGCTACACCGGAAATGACAATCGCGTAAAAACCCGCTCCGTCAAGACAGAAAAGTGAAACAAGAAAACATGTCGCGTAAGTATTTCTTTTTTTAATTGTGTATTGATTGTTGGTTTACCTCCACTGGTTTTTACCGATTTCACAATTAGGAAACTCCAAAACCAAAAATTCGAAGCATTTTTTTTAGTAAATAGCCAATTGTTTTTGTGTTTTTTTTTCTTTTTTTGCTTTGTGTGTGGTGGTTGCATAATCCGGAGTATTTCATTGCTGCGTTCAGCATTCGGCACCTTATAATATTGATGTTGCGAAACAATAAAACAAATACGCTACCTAAGTAACGCAATATTCAGAAATGGCGTTAATCTGTCGCTTTTTGGCTTTACGGTAGCGTATTTCGTGAAAAAGACAATTTCGCGCCCACGGTGTATGCGTCGCATTTCAGCTATGAATAGGTAACAATGTACCTTATGAATCCCAAATTTTACATGCCTAACCCTCGTAATAATCGCAATTAAAAATTCTAGAGCGTTCAATCCTCCATACATCGTCAGCGAGAATTTGTTGTTACATCGGAAGCATCTCCGAATAAATATATTTATATTTCAACAGCAGGTTATGTTAACATTTTCGATGGGTTACCACACTCAACTATTTTATTTCCTTGTGCAGTGCACGCTCCAAAAAATTACGGGTTCCAGAAGCCGCCGACTGAAAAGCACGAAGAGGTCCTTGGTTCGATACCAGGACCAGGCAGATTTTTTTGGTGACGCACCGATAAGCTAGCTGTGTTTGAAGATTTGTGTTTATCCTTTGTCTTCCTTCTCCAGGGATTATTATCGTCATTCTTATCCAGCTGGCTTGCACCTTTGCATTAATTGCCTTATTATCAGGCATACGTTGTTTGTGGAGTCGAAGTTCAACGAGCTTTACTTTAACCGGTTGTATTAACTTGCAGTCTATCGCGAACAACTCTCGTTAATTCTCGATTATTAGGATTGAGTGTGTGTTACCTCGAGGACCTGTGGGCAATGTGATATTAAAGCCGCCATCATACTGCTACTACATCGTACAAAAGAGAGTCTGCACACATTGTCTGGGGCTTGTTTGTTCCTTGTACGACGTTCACACTGGTCATACAAAACTTGTGTGCAGAGATGTTCGTGAGGCGTGTCCGCGCAAAACTTCTTGCATCCTGTCTGTAGCAAACAGCGTGTGTCTTTTGTTTGGTTGAGGAGAAGTGCGACCGATGATTGTATATACGCATTCATGCTGTCGAGTTATCTCTGGACACATTGTGGGAACTTGGAAGACTAACTACTCTACCGCAGTTCCTGAGTAACATTGGCAACACCAGCTTCGTTCGATGTAACTGTACCTCCTGCATCGGTGCAGAAAAGGTTAGGGTGGTGTGCTTCCGGTCGTATCTCAAGACACATACCGGAAGTAGACTGCCCCACACTTTTCTGCACCGGTACAGAAGGTGTAGGTAAATTGAACGAAGCTACTACCTGGTTGACGACGGGCGAAAATCAGCGTTGAGATGTTTGCTAGGGACGTTTAGCAAACTGTTACCGTGTTCCGCGTACTGTGTTTTGTCCCTTGTTTCGGGTTTACAGCTATGCACAGTACCGGAGCGTTTGAAGCGTGCTTTTAAGCGCGCGGCCGGGTGGTACCGTGAACGCGAGGCGCGCGCCTAAAAGCATGCTTCAAAGGCTCCGGTAGTGCGATACGCGGAACGCGGTAACGGTTTGATAAAAGTCGATGTTAGTTGCCGCTATGCACACTGGCTGATGTTTCTTGGACAGAACACGGTGCTTGAAAAAGGTAGTTACAAGGCGGTTTTACGTGACGTATGCCGCGGGATACAGTTATTCGACGACAATTTCGTCAATAGACCTTTTTTCCCCGATAAACCTCTGCCCATGCGCAAACGATGCCCCCTAAACCCTGCTTTCTGTCCACGCCGTTTTCGGAGCGCACCGTCCCACACGAACAACATTGTCAACACTCATCTTTTGGGCGTATTCCGTCTTTTTCGAGAATTATTTTTTGAGCATCGCTCATATGGAGTGTGAGAAACAATAAAGACCGATAGAACGGTACGATGCCAACGTGTTCTGATAGGTGGATGAAGGTTCAGTTGGCCTTAATTTTTTAGTCTTAAAAAGGTTCATTGTTTGCCTTCTACTTAAAAAAGAAAACAACGAGTATTCAATTCTACCACAGCAAGGGGCAGTGCAACGATTTTAACGTTGAAAGAATTTGCAACTTGTATTTTATATTGTTTATCTTGGCACAAGTGGGAGAAAACGCGACACCTTCCCCTGAAATACTGTAACTTTGTTGCGTAACCGCGAAAGAGAGAAAAAAAAAATTTTCGGGCTGCCGCTGCATGTGGCTGTCATCGGAAGTCCGATGTGACGTCACTCGGAATACAGAAGATGCGACGCCATCTACCCGATGTCAACAAAACCATTTCCTCTTCCCCGCCACTCTCCCCAACCTTCCCGTGGCGAACCGTACTTCGTCTCGGTCGTTCGCCTCGACCTTCAACTATGTCAAGCGGGTGGGATGCTCTGCTGTAGCCGAATCGGACCTTGAAAATTTTATAATCGCGGAGGGAAGGCTGGGGGTCCCGAATATAAAACCGAACGTGGCACTCCAAGTGACGTCACTGATCACGTCACTCGAAAGACGGCGCCAATTAAGGATAC